TAAGTGGATTTTGTAGCTAGTATAAAGGATTATTTATGATAAAAAAATGGTGATGTTTACTCTTGCCATTAAAGAGATCAAAGATATACACTGGACGTGTCTAATAGCCTAGATATTGTTGTTTGAGATTTTCGAGTGTCATGTTTCAGCTATAAAATCGAAACAACTAAAGCAAAAAACTTGCTATGCATAGCAGTGTTAGACGACCATATGCTCTACTAGTTGAAGTAAAAAAGATCTTGTTTTGTCATTGTCCTCATATAAATACGGGTACTATATCAGATTGGTCATGAAACCAATTAACACTCTAAAAACATAAAATCTTAAGTTTGTTCAAACTTTTTATTCGTTCGTGAAAAAATAGTTGATTCCGTCATCGAAAATGCTTATCTCAATGTGATCTATCATTGAATATAAAATAGTACGGATCGTGATAAAAAAAGTCCTATGGACCGATTTACGATCAAATGCGATCCCTTCCTTTGTTTGAGAGGATAAAAATTCTTTTTTAAAAAATCAAACCAAAAAACAATCAATCTGGTTTCTCCGATATCTTTTTTGTCCTGCTTTTGGATTTTAATCATCATTGATAATAAAAGAATACAAAAAAAAAGATAGGGTGAAATTCAAAGTAAAAATATCTTTATTCTAATCTATAATAACACCATAAATTTAATACAGAATTTAGAGTGAAAGATCGAAATATCATCAACTTAAAAATTTTGCGCCCATATTTGGTTATTATTATTATGATTTCTTTGAAATCGAAACATTCAATTTTACACTCACTTCTTCATCCTGATAAAATTCAGAAAAAAAAATTTACAATCTATGAAAGACCTATCAACTATCATTTCTAATAGTACAACCAAATGTTTAGAACCTGTCTTTCTAAATGTCTATGATTTACTTTCCGAACATCGAACAGTTAATTGTTTCTTTAAATATTGTGTTTGTCATCTTCTTGGTACTTGTCATACAGTTGGTTAAATCTTAATGAAATTTCATAATCAATAAATTTCTATAAAGTGTACAAATATACTTAAGTACTATTATAGAATTTGTAAAAACTATTGATGAATATTTTTTGGAAAAAATTCTCTACGCTTGAGTTTTTAGAAACTTTCTGTTTTTATGTCTTTATATATAAATCAATAATCTAATGGTGCTTCAATTAAATCGTCAAACGCCATGTCTCTCAGTCTCTTTTTTGTTCTTCAAATATTGCAAACATGACTGACCATGAGCGACACTATCCTAATTAAAAAAGAAAGTTAATTTTCAAGGAGAATTTCATTTAATATTGAAGAAAATATTCAAATAGATAAGTGTTTAATAAATCTTTAATGATTATGAAATACTAAAGATTTTTTTTCTTCTAATTCCTTCATCATATGCAGCAGACAAAACTAATCTTGTATGTTTCGTTCTAAAACATGTGAAAGATGGGTGTGGGTGTGGGTGACTCCTGATAGGAGAATACCTACCCACATCCACACCCACGCCCACATCACATCTCACATTCAGAACCTACACCTCACATCCTAGTTGTATCCTTTTAGCTTGACTCAAAAGCGGATCCATATCTCTGCATTTGTCACAGAGGTCAGAAACGAGCTAAAATGATGGAAAATCAGAGTTTTCGATCAGTCTTCGACAAATATGAACCTGACATTCACTGTTTTCACTAGGCATTTTTAAGCGAGAATTGTAGAGCTCAATAAGTTGTATCGTTTTGGCTCGAGTCGAAAGTGAATTCAAATGTCTACAATTGTCACGGATGGTAGAAACAAGCGAAAATGGCTAAAATCTGTATAGTAAAAGGAGGGAACTCGAACTCTGTGTTTCTGCTGACTGAGCCCGATAAACTGGATTCAAACGTTTTTGAATTTGGGAAATATAAAGTGATGATTTGGGATAGGAAAGGAACGCTTTCATGAGGAGACCGACTTCCACGCTTAACGACTCCCTCATTTATATGAACTCTGCCATATAATTTATGCTCAGAAAATCACTTATAATTTGACTTGCGAAAAAAATACTTATATATTTTCAACAATGTTTACAATGACAGTAAATATTCTGGCAGCAAATCTTGTAATTCTCTTGTTAGAGCTGAGTCGATTGTCTATAAATATATAAATTTTCCTGCACTTTACCGTTGATGAAGGCTCCTGCACAATTATTTTCAAGAAATACCCAGTTGTTAACGACATTTGTTTTAGATAATTTCAAACGTAGAAATAGTACGTTAAAAATTCAACTAAAAATATAGAATTCAATTTTTCAAGCATTTATTCACTACTTGTGGCTTCATTTTCGTGCTACATTCATTCGCCATTATAAAATTCCATGTGCCTCTATAATGGTATTTATATTCTCCCTTAATCGTTGTTTCCTTTAAACGATTACCACACTCATGGAAGAAAAAAAAAGTTACTATATACATGTGATGTGTCAAAAATACCATTTGATGCGCGATATGCTGACGCAATTCTTAATCAGTAGAAAAAAGATACAATAGAGAAAAGAAATAGGTAGTTACGCTTCAAACGTTCCTGTGCAATAGAAATAAAGTATGTTTTGTTTATGGTGTGCTTCAAAAGTGCACTTACTTTTTCGTTCTATGATTTTTAAGCTTGTTTTTCTCTTTTAACAATATTAACCACTAAGATATAATATTCTCGATTTATATTCTTCACTACTTTTTAATCGTATAAACTTTCAGAACTTGGTATTTATCCATGATGTGCAATCCACGTATATATTATATGCCGTGTGGGAGTTAAAACTATTTTTTACAAGGTGATAGTTGAGAAAAATGACAAAAAGTGAAAATACCGTTTAAACTCCGTTAACTTTTTGAATTTTTGAGTAGATTTAATTAAGTCGAAATAGTAATTATTTTGATTTAATTCCTACGTTTGATAGAATAAATTAAAATCTATGTATTTCATTGTTCTTTACTTCAAAAACTTACTATTTATAGATTATTCTCTAAAAATTTTTTATGTGTTCGTCTGCAAGCTACGTTTTCTCGTAGTTATTCGTTACCTGTGAATGAAATGATGCATTTTTTACTAGGCAACGTTAAGTTTTTTCTATGTTAACAGCTACGAACGATACGCGGAAATTACACTCATCTCTATTGAACATATATTTATCAAGCATACACGATGCTGAATTAAGAGTATATCCTTGAAAGTTTCATGATAGAGTAAATCGGTCGAATCTTGAAATTGTTATAACTTTCAACCCTAGCTATAACTTTCGGCCATAGTTATAATCTAAGGTCTTAGAAGCAGTTTGGTTATAGTTACTATCGAACACAATTTTCAATATTACTCAAGACATCCCATGTAAAAAAAATTAGGATAAAAAATCAGATTAAAATCGATTAAAATTATATGCTTTTTAATCATTTTCTAATTGATTATGATCAAAATGAACCAAAATAAAAAATAAAAATTTCCTTGAATATTTTGATTAACTTCGATTATAATCGATAAAAGCTTGATGAAAAAATTGATTATAATTGATGCAGTCGAAAGTAAACTGATTGAAGATTTTTGTTTTTTCATTGATCACGAAGAGAAACCAAATAAAATCGATCTTTTTTCCACAAATTTTATTCGATTATAACCGAAATTAATCAGAAGAATCAATGAAGTTTTAATTTTTTCGGTTATTTTTGAATATAATCACCCTTTAACCTATTTAAATCTCATTATTACTCCAGTTGTTTACATAGGTTAAGTGTAATTAAAACTATTAGTCATATTCATGTCTTAAATAAGGTCCGTTCACACTAGGCATCAACGAGTCACTGCCTACTTTACCCTTCCGAATAATGTAGAAAGCATTTCTCGTTATCTTTAACTTGTAAGAAAACAATGGTTACATCTTCTCTTCTCTTCTCTTTCTTCTTATTGTCTTGACTTCTTTAATTTTTCGTTTCTCTTCTCGCGTTTGTCTATATAATAACAAGAATAGCAGAACAATCTATGTACTGATAAAAGTGGTGATGAACGTATAAGAATGAACGCAGAATAACTTCATATACTTACTTTATGTTTACATAAAATATATATGATTATACTGTCACGGAGTGTTGTCTAAATTTTCTTATAACATATATTTAAGATGATTATCGTTTTAAACAGTAAGAAATAAAACACAGTAGTCTCAGTTGTTAAACACTATTCTCAGCTGCTCATATTTTGAGTATTATCATTGATCATACAACCGAGAAAATGTGGTTTGCAGATGAATACATAAAAAAATAACTTGCAGAAAATAATCTATAAATAGAAAGTTTTTGACGTAAAGAACAATGAATTACATAGATTTTAACTTATTCTATTAAACATATGAATTAAATCAAAAGAATTACTATTTCAACTTAATTAAATCTACTCAAAAATCCAAAAAGTTAATCGCGTTAAACCGGTTGATAGTTATAACTGTGGGTGATAGTTATAACTCGATCAGCTTTCACTTCCACACTCGTTGTGTAGCACATGAAGATCACTGTCTAGATCAGGGCGATGCCTATTTTGTAGAATTATCCAGAAATTTTGTTACTCATTCATGTCGAAACCAAAAATGAAGAATTTGATTAGTTCTAAGAAAACTCGACCATCAAATATATCAACTACCCATTCTGTGTTTCAACCAATCTCAAGAAATGAACTCTTCTAAACGCGTTCAAGTGATTAAAAAAAAACAGAAATAACGAGCAATTGTGGAGCATTATGATACTTATCCAGAAAAATACATGAAAACCATGTTTTCTTAGCTGATCTATCGGCATCAACAGACTTTTTAGCCTGTGAATACGGTAAAACTCGTGAAATTAGCGCTGAAAATGGGTAAAAACACTCAAATTTAGAAAAATATTACGTGTTCGAAAGTGTTCAGAAATTTCTAACGCGTTCTTTCAGGTGTCCTGTCTGACTGCGTAATGTTTTTTTTTCTTTCAAGATTTTCATACTATAATTATGATATTACTAATTATACTATATACAATAGTGACTTTTATTATTATTACAATCGCTATTATCTATTTCAAGTTAATTCGACCAGAAAAACAAATATATGATGCATTTCGTGAACAAGGTATAGGTGGAGAACCATTTATACCCTTAGTTGGTCAACTTCCTGAAGCGATCAAACAATACAACAACGATGCAATGATGATTTATTATGAAGAACTAGCAAAAAAACACGGATGCATTTTCCTATATAGCTATGGTCCATTTATATATCTGTATGTCAATGAACCTGATTTACTTGCAGATATACTTAGCAGAAACAATGCACCAAATTATATGAAACCTATAGAGGTTAGTGGTAGGTTTATACCTCTAATTGGTTCTCATAATTTATTAGTAGCTGAAGGTAGTGAACATGAACGAGCTCGTCGAATGATTAATCCAGCATTTCATCATGTTAATCTTAAATCTATGGTTTCAATTATTACTGATCGTACTGCTAAAGTTATTGAATCAATCATATCTAATGAACAACAATCAAAATCTATTGACTTACAAGTTTTATTTAATGCATTGACATTATCTATTATAGCATCAAGTGCATTTGGTGTAGATTTTGAAACAAATGCTCATGCAAAAAATATCATTTGTCAAACATTTACTCAATTACTTGATATCATTGAGTATCGAGCGATGTATATGATAATTCAAATACCTTTTCTTTCACGATTACCTTTCTGGGGTAAAAATATTCTTGATGAAGGCAATCGAAAAATGAGTGAATTTGTTGATCAAGTTATTGCTGATCGTCGACAAGGACGATCATCAAGTTTATCGAATGGTCCTGATCTTCTTGATCTCTTACTTTCAGCTGTTGATGATGAAGGACAACCATTCAATGATCAAGAAATTAAAGAAGAGTCTCTCACTTTTGTACTTGCTGGTAGTGAAACGACTGGAAATCTGATGGTATGGATGTTATATGTTTTAATGACTAATGAAAATGTCTTACAAGCATGTCGTGAAGAAGTTGATCGAGTTTTACCAAATGGCATAGAGCCAACCAATGAACATTTACAAAATCTATTTGTATGTGAAGCAATTATTAATGAAACCCTTCGTCTTTATCCACCAGTACCAGAATTTATGCGTCACTGTATACGAGAACATACTATTGGTACTGAACGTCAATTCCGTATACCAAAGGGAGCTAGCATCATTATTGATGGTTACATAACTCATCGTCGAAGTGATTTTTGGCCTCGGCCACTTGAATTTGATTATACTCGTTGGATGCGTGATCCTAAAACTGGTCTCAAACCAAAATTACCTCATCCATTTGCTTATCTTCCATTTGCTGCTGGTCCTCGAAATTGTATTGGACAAAATTTTGCATTATTAGAAGCTAAAATTATGTTAGCTATGTTTATACAACGATGTAATTTTGAGTTAGTACCAGGACAAAAGATTATACCTGATATTAAAATAACAATGCGACCAAAATATGGATTATGGGCTAATATTACTAAACGTAAAATATAAACTCCTATTCACATAGAAAAATATATGAATGAATTGCATAGACATTGTACGAGTTGGCAAAAAATCATGATAAAAAAATGTTTCGGATAAAAAGGGTGGGGTATGGGTGTGGGGTGGGATGTGGGTGTAGATGTGAGTATATGTTATTGATTCGCTGAAATAGTTGATTTTTCATATACATAGTTTGTGCTTTCCTTTCCTGGATAAAAACGGTCGCTATAGGTCGTCGAAAGTTCAACATTTCCAATCCAGTTTTGGGTCCTCATTCGATTCTTATCTTTCGAGACATGAACAAACAAGAATTTGTTTTAACTTATGGAAAGAATCGACTGATTCTCATCCATTGTGCTGAGATCTTTGTTAAAGTATTGAAGTCTCGTTTTGAACCTCTCTTTTGAAAGTTTTCGTTCACTTTGGATAAAATATCATCAAAGCAGCATAAGCTCCCTCCGAAGAGTAACGAGTAAATATCGAGTGTTGACGAGAGAGATTCTCTTCTTTCCGACAACGATCATTTCTCATTATTATGAGTAAAATGCGTGTTAGGAGAACGAATCAATCTTGTAAATTTGCCAGTAATCAAGTTGATAAGTTTCACTAAAGTTTAGTAGTAAAAAAATGTCTATTTTTTTCCATTCTCGCTTTTTCTCGATGCAGACTCCAGAAATCACTTGAAGAAATCTTTAACAAAATCAACACATGTTATTGTAGGTGAAAATCTACTCAAAACCCATCCTTCTGTTCAAAACGTCATGTAGATCGAGAGCACTTCGTTAACTGCTAACAGTTTTCAGGATAGTTGAACTGTTGTGCATAACAGGATATTTGTACGATATTTAGGGAGATATTTTCGGAAATCTTTCATGAAATATAGACTGTGTAGGAAATAATTGTACTGAATGAATCTTTTTGAAAACATGTTCGAAATACACTTCTTGTCGTAGCTCTCTCACATCACATTTACGCGTAGATTGCTTGCTTATTATTTTCTAGTTCTTTCGCTGTACTTTCGTTCTTTGTTGCGGCCCTTATTAGTAAATGTATGCCTTTATCTGTTGCTTGATTCTCTTTGTTTATTTGCATATCTCTTTCTATTCTCTCTCCTATTAGGTCAATTAGTCGAATATCTGTGTGAGTATAATTTAATCGAACAATAATTCAGTGCGGAATTCCTCGCAATTATGCCAAATGTATTAATCACTGGCGCAGCACAAGGAATAAGGAAGGCAATTGCACTGCGTCTTGCTAGGGATGGGCATAATGTTCTCATCAATGACGTTTCTCGTTACGAAGCTGAAGCAAAAGCAACATCTCGTCTGATTGAATCATTTGGACGACGATCAGGCTGTACTATCGGTGATGTAAGCATTTCCAATCAAGTAAACAAGATGGTAGCTGATACTGTATCGACATTGGGCAGTCTAGATATCATGATTGCAAATGCAGGTATCGCCGAAGTGAAGCCATTGCTCGATACAACATCAGATGAGTGAGATCGAATGATGGCTGTCAATCTTCGAGATGTATTTCTCTGTTATACAGCAGCAGCACGTCAAATGATATCTCAAGGGAAGGGTGGTAAGATCATCGGAGCTGCAAGTATAGTGGCACACAGGCCATTCGCTTGGCTTGCTCCTTATTCTACTTCAAAGTGGGGTGTGAGAGGGTTAACTCAAGCAGGTGCTATGGAGTGGGGCAAGTATGGAATTACAGTTAATACCTATTGTCCTGGAATCGTTGGAACAGCAATGTAGGATCTGATAGACGAAAAGTTGGCTAAGATTCATGGCAAATCAAAAGGTGAAATGATCAAGAAATTCTCTGAAGAACTCATCGCACTAGGTGGTCGAACCTCAGTTCCCGAAGATGTAGCTAAATTTGTCTCATATCTGGCTAGTACGAATAGTGACTACATGACTGGACAAAGTATCATGATTGATGGCGGCATTTGTTTTTCCTGAACGATTGATAGCCGCAATATAAGGAAGTGATGGTGCTTCATGTAATACGAATATTTTGTTTTTTCATTAATTAATATTCTTCAGCTATCTTGAATAAATAAAATAAACTAATTTACACAAAGCAGCCTAGTCGAAGAATATTGCTTCTTTGTGATAAAAACTATGTATTGTTTCTTGGAGAATTTTTTACTCATTTTTCTGTTTTCTTGTTAACTGGAATAATGAATGGTATATAGTGTTTGATTCCGAAAGATATCGAACAAAGACGCATTTCTGACGGTTTCAGATGACAATATTCAACTAGTCAAGAATTTTCTATAAAGTTTTCAAATCAAACTAATGAAAACATAATTCAAATGGGTGAGATGCTTTTCGTTGAAGACTGTTGCGAACATCCAAGACACACTGCGGCTAAATAAATCTCAATAGCATATGGTTGTCTGAATCTTTTTTGTTGAATTATGGATCATTGAATTAATTGTTGAACTCGCAGAAGGGATTAAATAAGAACAGTAAATAACGATGTGTCCTATTAAAAATTAAGCAGATCGATTAGTTCGATGTTACTTGAAATATTTCAGCCAAAACGCATATGTCCTTCTTAAAATATGCGATAGAAGCCTGCAGAACACGACATCTTTGTAACCTGTAACTGTCTTGTTCTGCCCTGTAGCTGCCGAAGTTCTCTTGAATACTGTAGTACAGGAGTCTTTCCCAGTGAATTCAATTATCATCCTATCACCATCTTCGAAAAGTAACTCGAACTTAAGAAGAGACAATAAAACTGCTCGATGTGAACTCTTTTCGAAGCAGATGCATTTGCAGTTATGACACAACTAGGTATAATAAAATGATTTTGTGTCGAAAAGTACCTTGAAAGTTTACTTCTTCCGTGTCACAGACGGTGGGCACTTTAAGTCGACTTTATATTGCATAGACTAATCTATGATTTTTTATGTCTGCGCGAAGAGTAAGTCATGGAAACTTTTGTTGTTGAATTAACCGATAGACCAGTCTATTGTCTACAGATTTTCGAATTTGAGATATTCACATACATAACTACTATCTGTTACAAAGTTTGCTGATTGTACTATTTGAATAAATAAACATTGCTCTTGCAATCAGTTTCTAGTTCAAATAGATTAATTTTTAGTTTAGAAAAGTAATGCGAAAATTTTTCCTAGCTGCAATATCAGCCGCTCGTTGTTACCAGCGGAAATTCTGTCCAACTGAATAGAAGTGTTGATTTCGCAAAAAACATCAGGTATAAAGAGGAGTCCAGATGTTTTCTTTTTTTGAATAACAAAAAAAAAAGCGGAGCGACAGAGAATTATATGAGGCTGTCGCAGAACTGTGAGCAAGAGAAAAACTACATACTAACTCTTTGCGAATGCAATATCCTGAAACGAGTTCACTTTACAAGAGAAAAGAATTTTGATCCAATAATAATAGCGAAGACATTGCTTTTCAATATGCAAACCGGAAGTCAAGTTTTTATATTTCAAAGGAAATTGTCTTTCGTGAGAACGATAACTACGAATATCATTCCATGTGGATTGCATCCTATATCATTTGTGCATCCCTTCATCTTAGATGTTCCAAATTAATTTCGTGTGCCAACAATAATCAAACATGCTATCAGTCTAGCCACATATCTATGAAGCATCTAAGATGTCAGAGTGCTTCATTGTGTTATCCAGCGAATATATCACTTCAATTTTTGTGTTTGCTGATAACAACGAACCCGCACTTGCACGAATGCCACATGGAACCAGAATGATATTACTGTAGCCGGAGGATGTGGGTGTGGGCATCTATCTTCTATTGACCCACACCCACCCTCTTTCATGTTTACGTATTTTGATTTGATAAGACAAGAAATATTTATATGGTAAAATCTAAGAGATGAGAGTAAATTTCGACAATAGCATCGCTTCTATTCTACCTTCACCCATCCTCAATAGTTATAATTTTGTCAAAAAAAAGCTTTATTGATAAAGTACTGACAACTCAAGTTCTCAGCATTGCATGATGCTCTATGTTAATATCTCACAAATTATGCAAACATTTTTTGTCAATTGATAATTGAAACATATGTAGCTGATGTCTATTGAGTAGCGTAAGGATAACATTAGTGATAAACTTTATTTAATTTTTCGCTTTTTGTTTTTGTTGTGCCGATTTATGTATTTATTTTTTCTAGTTCTGCCAAACAAAATATTTTGCTTCATATTCTGTGAACGCTCATGAACATACATCGAGCTATTTAGAAAAAAGCTGACACTAGTGCTACTGGCGAATTCTTTCATAATTCTTATTTCATATAAAGATTTTGTTTAATAGACACATTCTCATATGAGATAAACACAAAGACTTTATGTTCTTCTTCTCAACAAATTACTAAAGCCATTTGATTGAAAGAAAATATTTCTATCAATATTCACAAGTGTCGATAGAAATAGATACTTTTTTCGTCTATAAGATATTAAAAAAATCATTCAATTCTGAAGTATCACTCATCATCGATGTCTGATCTACTGAGAAACTCATTTAAATATGTTTGGGTTTATAACACTCTTTAGTATTCAGTCGATTTAGTTTACTTTCCTGATTCTCCTGTTTAACATTGTTTTTATTACACGGCTGCTCTAAATTCAGTACCTTGACTACAGCTAGCTTATATATTACCATTGTCTTACATTAAAAAATTTTGTTGTCTATCGTTTCCATTTGATCATAGTATATAATAACTAATAACTTTTTAAATGACTGTATCATTGTGATTGATTCTTATTTTCTTAATAATCAGATAATAAATATTCGGTTTGTTTGTTTGCCTGTTTTTTTTAAATAACTTCCATTTTTTTAGATAATTAAAAAAAAAGGTGAAATACAATACGATAAACACTACATTTATACACAAAATGTAAGTCGAATATAATAAAACTACAACGACATATATACCACCGGGATCAGACAACAAATACAATGAGAGAATTTGTATGCTGAGATATATATATATATTTGTATATATGCATT